GATATTCTCATCGTTGGTAGTAATGATCGGATGATCAAGTCTACCAAAAACATGTTAAATGCAAAATTTGACATGAAGGATATGGGTTTGGCTGATTTAATCCTCGGGATTAGAATCATTAGAAGACCTGATGGTCTCGTGTTGAGCCAATCACATTATATTGACAAAATCCTTGAGAAATTTAACAAGGATGATAGTCAAGTGGCTAGGACACCATTTGATACAAATATTCTTCTAACCAAGAACCACGGAGAAGGTATTTCACAAGTGGAATATGCTCGTGTTATTGGTAGTTTGATGTATCTTATGAGCTGTACTAGGCCGGATATTGCCTATGCGGTTAGTAAACTCAGTAGATATACGAGTAACCCCGGTGCCATGCACTGGAAGGCAATAGTAAAGGTTATGAGATACTTGAGGTATACTCGTGATCTTGGACTGCACTATGGGAGATATCCCGCCGTACTTGAAGGGTATAGCGACGCGAATTGGATATCTGATATTAAGGACTCTAAGTCCACGAGTGGCTACGTGTTTACACTAGCCGGTGCAGCCGTTGCATGGAAATCCTCTAAGCAAACTGTGATAGCTAGATCCACAATGGAATCTGAGCTGATAGCCTTGGACAAAGGTTGTGAAGAGGCTGAATGGCTACGCCATTTTATAGAGGATATTCCTAATTGGGAAAGACCGGTACCTCCAATATGTGTGCATTGCGATAGTCAAGCCACAATTGGGAGAGTACAGAGTCATATGTATAATGGTAAGTCTAGACACGCGCGTCGTAGACATAATACCATTAGACAACTACTCACAACTGGAGTTGTCTCGATTGACTACGTAAAGTCAAAAGACAATATAGCGGATCCGCTGACCAAAGGGTTAGGAAGAGAAGTTGTGGAGAAGTTGACACGAGGAATGGGTCTACTGCCCTTGGACTAAAAAGTTCTATAGTGGATACCCAACCTAGCTGGCACCTAGGTTCAATGGGACAACTAAATTATGGAACGGAGCGCGTTACTGTGGGGGTCTCGGACTCCCTACCACTCCTCGTTAAAACAATGACTCCCGCAAGAGGCTAGCATGTTAATGCTTTAATGATTCTTGAGTATGCGGGATACTCGAGAAAGAATCACCTATGTTAGAGAGAAGTGAGGGTCGCTTCAAAGGAGAATTGTTGGGCACAATTCTTTAGAAACTCTCGCAGAACCAGGAACGGTGACCCACGACCAAAACGGGCACACTCATGAGAGCAAGAGCATGGTTGGGAGATTCCTGTGTGAGATATGTCATCGTCTACACAAACGGCAGTCGGTTCAAAGACATCGCGTTCTACCGTACAGCCAGTAGAGTAAACATGTTTTCACGAGGGAAGGTTCAAAGGGTATAGTGACTCCCTACCTATCCTATGCAGGGATCGACCGTTTGAACACAGTTGTTTCCGATTTCAAAATACCCCGAAAATCAATTTTTCATTCATGTGGGGGATTGTTGGAAAAAATAGCTTAAAATGGCATGTTAAGTGGCTATTTTGTGGTACAATTATCAGTGGGGTCCACTTCCGATTTGGGTCAGGTTAAAGTGGATTCGGATTCTTAGTAGTGAGACGAAGAGATCGATATATTGTATGCTCAAAACGGATAATGGGTGAATGAGATATTGATTCTCAAAGTAGACCCATTTGAGTTGGAAAATGAAGGGAAAAAGTGTGCTTTTGTCCCACATTGCTTTGGAATGAAGATTTTCCCCCCTTATATACAAGAGCTCTTTTGAAGCTTGTAGAATTGTATAGCATAGAGGCTCTCTCGCGCGGGGGGGGGGGGGGGGGGGGGGGGGGTGCAAATCAAATTCCAACTAGCAGAGATTGAAAAAGGCTTGATTCAAGCCCGAGCTCCTGTGCGCCGGCACCTGGGGGCACAAATGTCGTCCAATTTAATTGGCTGGCCTTGCAGGCTAAGTTATGCCAAACTTCGGTATCATTTTCCAACTGGTATAGCCACTTGGTTCGGCCAGAACCGAACCGAGAGCACCTACTCTCGTGCTACAAGAGAGCATGAGAGGTTGTGGTGCACCGAGAGCACAACTCTCGTGCAACAGCCACCTACTCTCGTGCTATAAGAGAGCATGAGAGGTTGTGGTGCACCGAGAGCACAACTCTCATGCAACAGAGTCCACGAGAGGTGCAAGGGCCGAAACTGGATGAGGTCGAAAGTTGAGACCGAACCCTGTACGCTAACGGTCTGGAACCCGAAAGTTCTGACTGTTGAGGGGATTGAATTCATCTGTTACGGAATTAATTGTCTATTAATTCCAATTTTGAATTCTGAATTCAATTCCCAGGTAGTGGCCTGCTGTTATAGCTGTTGGAAGGCAGCTTTAATGTCAGTTTTAATTGCCATAATAAAGGCTATTGGCTCCTTCAACCCTATATAAGAGAGGGTAGAGGCAGTAGAGTTAAACACACAGCTTTACACAGCACGAAAGTATACTTTTCCAGCTTCAAAAATCTCTGCTTCTACTCTTTCTTTAGCTATACTGTGTTCATAGCCATTGTCTTGCTCGCCGGATCCTTTGTTTGAATGCTCAAACATTGGATCATAGCAAGTTTTATCCTGGGAAGCCTAGGCCACAACGCTCCTAGCATCTACGGGAGGTGGCAAATAAGGTTTTAAGGAAAGAGTGCACACTTGACTCTTGCAAAAACCCAACACCAAACACTAGCCAATTTTCTTCAAATTTTCTTCCCTTCTTTCCAGAAAATAATAGTCAATTTTTTATTTGATTATTATTTGTTTTCTACCAACGGTACCTACAGTAACTTAGGTATAGAAATTATTTGCACGGAATATATATGTAATATGTATATATCTAACAATTTTGTCATATTTTTGTAAGAAGAATACATAATATAACTGCTTTGAATTATACATTGTTGGAAACCTCTTTGTAGACTACATTAGTAGTAGTAACAGAATTTTGTCCATCCTCTTTTAGAGCTAAAACCTTTAGGCCATCAGGATGAGTGCCTCGGAAAAAAGTCACGTACAATTGATCGTTGTTTACAAATCATTGTTTACAAATCCTGTAATCCTACCTCCGATGTTTGCAATCCATTTTGAGAACCAATCAACCGTATGTCTATCTTCGTCTGAAGCTAAGCTCCGTAGTCTCAAGTTCTTCGTGAGCCTCAATACCTTGTAATTTTTCCAGATGTATGAAGAATTAATAGTGGCTCCCACAATCATTAGTCTCGTTGCTTTTGGAATAACTGGAAGAATCTGTCTAAAATCACCGCCCAATACTACTGTCTTTCCACTAAATATTTTCTCAGCACTACCCGGTATGGTGAACCTCAATAGACCCCTCATGGCTTTGTCCAAAGCCTCAAAATAGTATTTGTGCGTCAACAGTGCTTCATCCCATATTATCAATTTGCTCCTGATTATAAGTTCGCAAAGGTCACTGCCTTGCGATATATTGCACGTGGAATCTCCATTCAATGAGAGTGGTATAACAAATCGAGAATGCGCCGTCCTGCCACCCAGCAAGAACAAAGATGCTATTCCACTTGAAGCAACGTTTAGAACAATATCTTCACGGCTTCTTATCTTTGAAGATAATGTTCTCCACACGAACGTCTTGCCTGTTCCTTTGTAACCATACACAAAGAACAATCTCCCTCCATTAGAATCAATATCATTCATCACATAGTCAAAAATATTCTTTTATTCATCCGTTAATTGTGTTACCAATGTTTCATGCTCTGCCTTCAATGATTCCTTGTCGTACTGGACTCTTCGGATACCAACATATTTTTTGTCAATCCAATGCTGCTTTCTCCTAGAAGTGGCATTTCTGGGTAGTCGCTCAGGCTCTTCCCCCACAAAGATAGCAACTTCTCCAACTCTACCAGAGCAAATTGTTGCTTATCATATTTTGATAACAACAAATCTTCATAATCCAAAAACGAAACAAAATCAATGAATGGTTTTTTTTTTTTTTTTTAAATAATGATAAGCAAATAAGAATGTCGAATAAATAGATTGGATGTTGATGTACCTGGATTGTGCATGAGACGCACTACAAGAAAAATTGCGAATTGCGACGAAAAATTTCCGTCGCGAACGGGCAATATTCCCTCGCGAATCGCGTTTCGTGACGGAATTTATTCCGTCGTCTATCACCTTGTCGTTTTTTGTTAGACGACGGAATAATTCCGTCGCAACGTTTGGCGACGGAATTCGCGACGGACTATTTCCGTCGCCATTTGGCGATGGAATTATTCCGTCGCGATTTCGTCGCCAATTTCGCAACGGAACTGTTTCCGTCGCAAATCCGTTGCTATTTCTGAACCGAATATTCCGTCGTCATATTATCTTTTCAGTCGCCAATTCCGTCGCTCATTTCGCAACGGAAATGTTTTCCGTCGTAATTCCGTCGCTTCATTGGCAACAAATATTCCGTCGCGTTTTTGAATTATTTTAAAATAAAATTGTGATTTTAAATAGTAATTGAATGTTTTTAAAATTAAAGATAACATAATTCTAAATTAAGTTAAAATACTAATACGTAATGAGAATCATCAAACCATAGAACAAAAAAATGCTCCGCAAACCTCGTGAATCCAGATCGTGATCGCTGATCGTGCCTTTTCCGATCGAGACCGCCGGTTATTGGCCCTCTCTCTTGATCATGCTCAAGAGAGTTTTCTCCCTAGTGGTCCAGGGTTTATATTTTACGCTGTCTTCTCCAATGAATTCACATTTACTATTCTATCTCGCGGTGTGGCTTTCCCTTCTCATCATGGATATTCGCCAAATCGAGGATCATTGTGCAAGCTTATCAATTGTGGAGGAGGAGGTGTCCGGTCTAGAGGCACCTGATCCACCGCCCCCGTGTGTTGCGGCTGTTCACCATAGTTTGGTTGGGCGCTTCCTCACCGATCGTCCGATAAAATTTGACCACATGCAACAGGTTCTGGCATCATATGGCGGCCGGTGATGGGTATGCAGGTGGAGGCGCTGACGGATGAGCTATTCCTATTTCGATTCCCCCATTCAAAGGATTTGCAGATGATTATTGACGATGACCCTTGGTCGTTTGAGAATCACACATTGGTGTGCGAGCGTGTTCTTTCGGAATCGAGACCCGAGGATGTTGAATTGGAATCCGTGGCATTCTGGGTGCAAATCCATGGGTTACCGGCGATGTATGCATCATCGGAGTTCCTGAATCGTATTGGCGATTATTTAGGCTCATTTGTTGCGATCGACCCCAACAATTTTGGTGGATCGTGGAAAGGTTTCTATCGAATCAGGGCAAGGATGCTGGTGGGAGTACCACTGAAGAGACGTATGAAACTCGTGCGTAAAGACGGCTCCACACAGTGGATCAATTTTTGTTACGAAAGACTAAATGCGTTTTGTTTCTGCTGCGGAGTTTTGGGTGACATCGATAAATTTTGCAGGAATGCGTACGAAGATGGTATTCCGCCTGAGTCGTTCCCGTTCGACAGTTGGATGCGCGCCGAAACGAGAAGGCAAGCTAAGCCAGTTGGTGCAAAATGGTTACTGCTGAAGGATGCCCCGCTAAATACGACACCTTCTACTCCAGGGCCTTCGCCGCTGGCGCTGGTGTCGGTTCAAGAGAGCACAGGTTTACATGGGGAGTTGAAGAGACGTAGGGAATCAGCTGAAGTGCATAATGGTGTGACTGGGGAGGATGTGTTGATGTCTAAGAGTTCAAAAAATTTGCTATCGGCGGGTCTGAAGTGTCCTCAGTTGGAACTGCCGGGGTTTGGGTGGCACCCGGACAGTTCGAGAGTTATTGGACATAGTGTCTAAAGAGAGACCCTTTTTTGTCTTCTTAACGGAGATGAAAGCGTGTGGTGAGAAAGTGGAGCAGGTGAGGGTAAAGCTGGGGTTTGAAGGGGCAGTGTGAGTGGATCGTGTGGGTATGGGAGGTGGGATAGCGCTGTTATGGAGGGATGCGCAGGCGGCTTCGCTTCTGAGCTTCTCGTGCAATCACAGATATGGAAGTCACGCTTCCGGATAGGCCGAAATGGAGACTGACGATTTTCTATGTTAATCCAGAGTAGTCAAGGAGACATATCACGTGGGATCTTCTGCGGCAATTCAAGGAACGTTCTTTACTTCCTTGGGTTGTCGTGGGGGATTTTAATGATATTGCTTGCTATATGAGAAACGAGGTAACCATTCACATCCGGATGACCTCACTGAAGGCTTCAATGATGCTCTAGACGATTGTCAGTTACATGATTTGGGTATATCTGGGTGTAGGTTCACGTGGGAGAAAAGTCATGGTACAGAGGCATGGGTGGAGGAAAGGCTAGACAGGGCGGTGGCGACGATTGATTGGGTGGAGTTGCACGAGGACGCAGTGGTGCGCAAAATTTTTACAGTTGAATCGGATCACAACGCTATTTTCCTCGATCTAGAGTCGCGTCCGGTACGCTCAGCCAGGTACTCTTTTAAATTTGAATCTGCTTGGCTCCTTGATGCGGGTTGTGCAAAAGTGGTGGAGGCGGCATTGAGTCAGACTACTAGTTTGTATTTCCAGCAGTGAATTGATATTTGCGGACATCACTTGAAAAGGTGGGGTGGGGACCATGCTAGGAAATTTGGTAATCGCATAAAGAAATTGCAGCAGCGTCTGGCAGTGCTGGAGGAAAACAGAACGACGCAGGCAGTTTAAGAATTCCTAGAGGTAAAACTCGAGCTTGAGACCTTGTTGAAGCAGGAAGAATTATTTTGGCTTCAGCGTTCAAAACAACTCTGGCTAAAACATGGGGACTCTAACACGAAGTTTTTCCATAAGGCGGCCTCTGCTCGCAGAAACCGGAACCTACTTCTACGAGTCAAGGATCAGAATGAGGTGTGGAGGGAAGGGGTGGCAATGCACGCTGAAGTGTTGAGGTACTATAATCTTATCTTTTGTTCTGGGGGTTGTGCTTCAAATTTGTTTTCACGGATGTATCGGAGTGTATCCAACGAGATGAACGCTACCCTGTTGCAGCCGTTCACGATCACGGATGTGAAGTCTGCTTTGTTTTCTATGGCCCCAGAGAAAGCTCCGGGTCCGGACGGCATGTCACCAGCTTTCTATCAGCATTTCTGGCCGATCCTCGGCCATGATTTGTCAATGTTTATCTTTAGCTGTATTGACACCTGCAGTTTCCCGCAGGGCCTGAACGTGTCTAATATTGTTTTACTGCCTAAGAAAAAAGTTCCGGAATCGGTGGCTGACTTGCGACGATCGCCCTTTGTAATGTTGTTTACAAAGTCCTGGCCAAGATGTTGGCTAATAGACTTAAGTATTGGTTATGCCATGTCGTGTCGCAATCTCAGAGCGCTTTTGTTCCCGAGAGATTGCTCACTGATAATATTATTGTTGCTGGTGAGGTGGGTCATTATCTTCGTAGGAAAGTGAGCGGGGCAATGGGATGGGTAGCGCTAAAGCTAGATATGGTCAAAGCATATGATAGAATGGAGTGGGGCTTTCTGGAGGGAGTTACGTTAGCAATGGGTTTTAACCAGTGTTGGGTGAATTTACTGATGTTATGTGTCTCCTCGGTCACCTACTCAATTCAGGTGAACGGGGAAATAGTGGGTACCGTGTGCCCCTCTCGGGGTATTCGTCAAGGGGACCCACTATCCCCTTATTTATTCATTCTGTGTGCCGAAGCGTTATCAACTTTACTCCAACAAGCGGAGGCTAGGGGTGACATACATAGGGTGAAAGTGGCCCGGGGTGCGCCATCCATCACCCATATTTTCTTTGCTGACGACAGCTTGCTGTTTTTCAGGGTAACACATCAGGAAGCTTCTAAAATCAAAGAGTGCTTAGACAGGTACTGCATGGCATCGGGTCAATTAATCAACTTCTCCAAATCTAGCGCTGTTTTTAGCGCCAACACTACTGCTGCGGTTAAACGTATGGTTTCGGAGTGTTTTGGGATACGGGAGGCTCAAAATCTGGGGCGTTACTTAGGTCTCCCATCGGTCATCTGGAGAAGTAAAGGTCGCTACCTTTCGTTACATTGAGGAAAGAATTCGTGACCGGATTGGATCATGGCAACATAGATTGTTATCAAGGGAAGATAAAGAGGTTTTACTTAAGAGCATAGCTCAAACCCTTCCTATTTTCACTATGTCCACTTTTCTGTTGCCAGTCCGGAGCTGTACACGTTGGAAAAAATGTTTAATCGTTTTTGGTGGGGCGGTGGTGGTACAGGTAGGGGAATTCATTGGCTAAGCTGGAGTCGGTTATGCGAACCAAAATTCAGAGGGGGTTTGGGATTCAAGTGATTGCATGAGTTCAATCTAGCGTTACTTGCTAAGCAGGGATGTCGATTGTTGATCCATCCAGAGTTACTGGTGTGTAGGCTTTTGAAAGCCAAATATTTTCCCAATTGTGATTTTATGGAAGCATGGTTGGGTGGAAAACCCAAGTTATTTTTGGTGCAGTATTTTGGCGGGGCAGGATGTTTTAAAACGAGGGTTAGCGCGAAGAATAGGCGATGGTCTTGATACCAAAATTTGGGGCTGGGGTTGGCTGTCTAATTCCATGAACGCAGCACTAATTACTCCATGCATTGAAGAACTTAAAGAGGCGAGAGTAAGTGGGCTGATGACCGAGCTTGGTGAGTGGGATATAGGCGTGATACGGGATCTGTTTCGGGAGGAAGATGTATGCAAAATCTTATCAACGCCTATCAACAAGTCTATGAAGGACTCTTGGAGATTGGTAGGTGATATTCATGGTTGCTATACAGCGAAACTTGGGTATCGGTTGCTTACTTATACAATGAGTTTGCCTCCGGAGTTTACTTTCCATTCATGGAATTGCCTATGGTCTATTCCAGTGCCCCCCAAAGTGAAGAACCTTCTTTGGAGGTGCGCACGAGGAGTGTTGCCGGTCCGCGAAAATTTGAAAACGAAGAGAGTATGGATCGGGGGAGGTTTCCCCTTCTGTGGGTTCCCAAATGAAACGACAGAACACATCTTTTGTGAGTGTTCTTGGGCTAGAGGCTTGTGGGGTATAGAAGATGTTCTTCAAGGGCAAAGTCTAGCGAGCTTCTTGGACTCGGTTCTGGGAGGTTCGGTCGTGGAGAGATCTGTCCACTTAGCAGTCGTCTTCTGGACCTTGTGGCAGACGCAGAATGATGTTGTGTGGCGGTGCTCTTCACTGTCGATGGAGAATCTAAAAATGCAGCTTGGCCGACATCAGACATTGTGGAAGAACGCCCTCAGTGGTTCGAGCAGCCCGGCGAACGGGCGGAATAGCGGCATTCAATGGTTACCTCCTCCTTATAACGTCCTTAAATGCAATGTGGATGCGGCCATTTTCGCTGACGGAGCGGGCTACGGAGTGGTGGTTCGTGATCACTTGGGCAGTTTCGTTGCGGCTCAAAGCGGTTGGATTACATTTAACCAGGAGCCGCTCATGGCCAAAATCCTGGCGGCGTATGAATCTCTCAAATGGTTGGCTAGGATGCATCATAATCGTATTATTTTAGAGTATGATTGCTTAACGTTTTGTAATTCTTTCAATTCTCGAACAATAGATTATTCCTATGTAGGTTTGATTGTAAAGCAATGTTTGTCGATTGCTAGGGACATAGGGGACATTAAAGTCCATCATGTCAAGAGAACAGTGAACCATGTGGCTCACGTACTTGCTCGGGCAACTGGTTCTTCGTCTGTCTCCAAGTCGTGGGCAGTTATCCCACCTACTTGTATTGCGGGTTTATTACCTCCTTAATGAAAGTTCGTTCTGTTTTTGGTTTAAAAAAAAAGTTGAAATACTAATACATTACCAATCCACATTTCATACATAATATAATCGTCAATTAAACTCTAAACAACATAATAATATATTATCAATTCACACTTAATACATAATATAATAGTCAATTCAAGTCTAAACAACATAATAATACATTATCAATCCACACTTAATACATAATATAATAGTCAATTCAAGTTTAAACAACAGAAACAAACAACCATTAAAATCAATTGATTTGAGATGGAGGTGATGATGAAGTACCTGTTCTCCCGCCATCAATAACATCAAGTCGTTGTTGCATAAGGAGAATAGTTTCCTTCAAACTCTGAATTTCATGTTGTACATTTGCAGAAGTAGAAGTAGCATTGTCGGGTGGTCGCGATGTTGGTGTTATATTGCCAGAAGTGCTATCATTAGTTGGATCATGAACAATCACCCTAATACAGCATGCACCCCAACCTACAACAATCAATTTTCTCCACTGGTAGCCCAAGCCCTTGTATTAGTTTCTTTGTCTGGTAAAAACTACCAACCATGTTATTGTCTTCAGGTAAACCATCCTTAAACAATTGACAGAATGCATCAAAGCATTGCTCTGGCAGACGATATTCTGTCTTTATGTTTAGCAATCGAGCCACAGCAGATAATTATGTCAACTTTTCACAACCAGGCCATAATTGTCTATCAGCAACATCTAACATGTCGAAGAATTTTTTATCTTCTACATTTGGCTCCTCACGCATATTCCTCGCTATGAGATTTGGACCATCAGCATCATAAACCATCTGCTGATATGATTCCAACGGTTCATTTTGCTCATTTAAACTCCAATTTGCATCAAACTCCATTGAAGTTCGATTGTGTGACATTTCTCCATGTCTATTCCACTCAAAGTAATTTGGCACAAAACCAAATTTGCACAAGTGAAATCTCACCATCTCAGTTTCTTCAAATGAGATGTGACGACATCTTTTACATGGACATCGAATTTTAGTTCCATCCATAAAATTCGGCTTACTACATGCAAACTCAA